AACATGAAGGTTGCTGGGGATTCCAGGAAAAGGGGGAGGAAGACGTCTGTAGTGGGGGACCCCTGGCATGGTGGACCTACTCCCTAAGGTACTCTGATGGCAGCTACTCAATGCTAAGCTTTTGTCACTATTTATAGAAATACAAGGAGTTTAATTAATGATGATCTATCCATATCAATATTACATTGGCCCAACAATTCTGACAATGCCATAGAAATGCAAGATGTAAGTAATAAGGAGAACCCTATGGTGGACATGTGTATGGGAACTCTAGAGTATGTCCGCATTTTTCTGTCCACGTATCTCATTTAAAAGAAATAAAGTCAATTAAGTGCAACATACAGAATATGCTCAGGGACTTCTGTGGACTCAGCATTGCCTCAGCAGAACAAGCCCTCACCCAGGGCACACAGATGCCTTTCTACCTGAGTTAATTATGCACAACACCCAGCCTCACTTTTACTGAATTTGCCTTTGAAGTTTTGCTGTTTCTTTTATACCAGTAGGTTCAACAAATTAATTTTTATATTTTCATTCTTTTTTTATAGAGAAACATGAAGAAAAGTCCCTAGGAAGGACACCAGTTCCTTAGGTCCCCAAATTTTTAAACACCCTTCTGTCACCCAAGATTGATTACTAATTTTACAGTAATGTAACCAGTAATTCCTTAACCATGGAGGAAAATGTGTTCCAAGTGATCCTACACCACTCAGGCTTGAGGAGAAAATGATGTGGGGTGGCTCTAAAAGAATAGCCCAGCTGAGGAGCTGCAGAGTGGCACCTTTAATGCCAGCAGCTCAAGAGGCTGAGGGAGGAGGATTCTGAGTTTGAGGCCATCCTCAGCAAGCCAGTGAGGCCCTAAGCACATTAGAGAGGCCCTGGCTCAAAAAGTAAATAAAAATCACTGGGGAGAAGCCTCAGTAGTTAAGCACCTCGAAGTTCAGCCCCAGTCCCAACAATGTACACAGGGAGATGCAAGGTGGCTGGTTCAGTGAAGCAGGGTTTTTCGGAGCTCACCTGCTTGGGACTCCAGCAGTGGGAATCCTGCTTCTCCCCAAGGTTGATGAGAAATGGATTGATCTAGTACTCAATAGAGGACAAATAGCCCAAGAAAAATAGATAGTTTGAGTACATTAAACAGGGAGAAAGGAAAAAAAAAGAGAGAAAGTTGTTTGCAGGAGGCATAGGAATACCACACAGCCCAGGAAAAGCTGAAAACTTCTAGAAACAGGCTTAGTGAAGGGGACCCCAAGACTGAAGGCCACCTAGCCTGGCCAATAGGGAGGCTGTGGGACTCAGTAAACCAGCCCAGGAAAGATGCCCTGAGCTTACCAAACATCAGCCTAGAGCTGAGCTAGGTGCCATCAGGGATTAATGCGCACCTGCCTGAAGGCAGCTGGGAAATCAGATCCTGGGGTCTTCGGAGGGAATCACGTGATTTTATCTCAGACTAGGGAGGACTCAACTGAGCCCAGCAAGCCTAGGGAAAGTCAGGCCCGCCTCTGTCCCACCATGCATTCCAGTGGCTTGCAAGGGCTCCATGGCCCAGCAACAGCAGACCAGAATTTAAGATGTGGGTGCAAGGGCGTTCTGACTCAGCCCACTGCTGCTTGGCCTCCGCTTGACTCAGCTTGAGGCTCAACACTCGTCTAGGCCTGTGGCTGGGTGCTCAGCAACTGACCCCAGGAGGTCAGAAAGGGCAGCATCCACAAGCAAATGAAATGGCAATTGATGCAAAAAGTTTTAATACAATACTGGCAATCCAAATGTCTTCTCTGATAAGCAAATGCTGATCCGTAAGGGGAGGCGGAGAATGGAGGGACTGTGAATTATACAGAAGGGACCGAGGGAGGGAAAGAACAGTGGAATGAGATGGACATTATCACCCTATATATGTGGATGACCACACCACTGGTGTGACTCTGAACGATGTTCAGTCAGAGGAAGAAGTTTTGCTCCGTCTGTGTACAATGTGTCAAAGTGACTGTACAATTAACTAAAACAAATAAAGTTAAAAAGACTGGCCTGTTGCATACAAAATCCTTAAAATAATGAACCACGATCAAGTGGGGTTCATCCAAGGGGAGGCAGGTTAGTTCAGCTTCTGGAAATGAATGAATATGATTCATCCCATGGAAAGACTTAAAGACAAAACCCATCATAATTTCAATATGTGCAGAAAAAGCATTTGACAAGGCACAGCATCCATTCCTGCTCTAATCACTACAAAAATCAGGATAGCAGGAATAAAACTCAACATGGGAAAAGGTATATATGCTTCACCCCAAGCCAACATCATTCTCAATGAATAAAACTGAAATCAATCCCTCCTCAATAGGAACAAGACAGGGAAGCCCTCTTTCACCACCTCTAATCAACGTAGTCCCTTTAATATCCTAGCCAGACAATTCAGACAAAAAGAAGTTAAAGAATACAAATAACAACTGAAAAATATTCCTATTTACTGTTAACATATTCTATCTTTAGAAAACCCAAAAAACTTCACTTCTAGAACTCATTGATAAATTCAGCAAAGTAGCAGGATATAAGTGTGTTATGGGTAAAAAATAATAAAAGTTTATCATAGAAACTTAAAAAAAATAAAATAAAATCAACACCATGAATCAACTGTGCTCCTTTACACCAATGAGGAATCAGCTGAAGGAGACAGAAAACTATCCCATTCACAATAGCCTCAAAATGGCTGGGCTTGGGGCTCAGGGCTAGAGCACTTTCCTTGCAAGAACAAGGTGCTGGGTTTGATCCTCAGACCACATAAAAATACAAAAATAAAAAATAAAGGTATTGTGTCCAAATTTTATATATATATACACACACACACACACACACACACACACACACACACACATATATATATATATACATATACATATATATAATCTCCTCAAAACTAAAATACTTGGGAATCAGTCAGACAACAGAGGTGAAAGATCTCTACAATAAATACTAGAGAATACTAAAGAAAGAAATTGAAGACCTCAGAAGCTAGAGAGAAATATCAAGTTCTTCTATAGACAGAATTAATAATGTCATACCTACCAAAAGCATTCTACAGATTTCTTACAATTCCTTACAATTTCCTTACAATTCCCACTCTTAATAGAAATAAAAATCTATCATGAAACTCCTTTGGAAACACAGAATATCAAAAAACAATAATTAGCAAGGACACAAGAGACATCACAATTTGATCCTTAAATCATACTACAGAGCTATGGTAATCAAGACAGCATGGTATTGGCACAAAAGCAGACATGCAGACAAAGGAACAGGTTGGAAGGCACAGAAACAAATCCATGTAAGTACAGTTATACTAGACAGAGATGCCATAAACATACATTGGAGAAAATACAGCCTCTTCAGGAAATTATTTTAGGAAAAATAGAAAGTCATATGTAGCAAATGAAACTGAAACCCTAACTCTCACTTTGCACAAAAACCAAACACAATGTGGATTAAGAATGTGAGCAACAGACCAGAGACCCTGCTCCTACTAGAAGGAAATGTAGGCCCAGCTCTCAATCATCTCACCTTAGAAACCATCTTCCTCAACAAGACTCCTAAAGTTCAAGGAATACGGTCCAGAATCTATAAATGGGATGAAATAAAAATAAAAAGCTTCTTCAAAGGAAAAGAAACAATCATGAACATGAAGAGCCTACAAATGGGAGAAAATCTTTGCCACCTGATCATTAATTTCCAGGATATACCAAGAACTCAAATACACCAAAAAAAAGTTAATAAATGGACAAAGGAACTGAACATGCACTTCCCAGAAAAATAAAAGGAATGGTCAACAAATTTATGAGAAAAGGTTCAACATCTAGCTATCATAGAAATGCAAATTAAGAACACACTGAGGCTAGGTGCAGTGGTGCACACCTGTCATCCCAGCAGTTTTAGAGGCTGAGGCAGGAGGATTGTGAGTTCAAAGCCAGCCTCAGCAAAAGTGAGGAATTAAGCAGCTCAGTGAGACTCTGTCTTTAAATAAAATACAAAATAGGACTGGGGATGCGGCTCAGTGGTCAAGTGTCTCCTAGTTCAATCCCCAGTACCCACCCCCACCAAAAAACAAACAAAAAAACAACAATAACAAAAAAAACTAAACCACACTGAGATTCCACCTGACTCAATTCAGTGTGGTAATTACCAAGAATGCAAGTAACAATAAAGATTGAGGAGAATTGCAGAAAGAGATTCATTCACACACTGCTGGTGGGAGTGCAAATTGGTGCATCCAGTATGGAAAGCAGTATGGAGATTCTTTAGAAAAAGGAGAATGGAAGCACCATTTGAGCCACTTATACCATGCTTTGGTATATACCTACAGGACTTCAAATCACCATACTTTAGTGACACAGCTACATTCATGTTTATAGAAGCTCAAGTCTCAATTACTAAGCTATGAAACCAACCTAGGTGGCCTTCAACAGATGAATAAAGAAAATGTGATAGATAGATAGATAGATAGATAGATAGATAGATAGATAGATAGATAGATAGATATAGATGGGAGGGAGGGAGGCAGGCGGGCAATAAAGGGAAGGAAGAAGGATCCAAGGGTTCAGAGACTGATGGGTTGGTGCACAGGGGCATACAGAAGTCAGTGGACTCTTTTCAGAGTGAGCCAGTTTATTCTCCACAATTTCCTCTCAGGACCAATGTGGAGATACAAGGTGGTTGGGAAGCATATGCATTGGGAGTCACGAGACACAACACATTTTCTCCATGTGTTGCCATCCACAGGTCACATCACATAAGTTGATATTTTATCTCAAGCCACACTAACTCTGTGCCTCAATGTGAGAGGCCTGAGGTTGGCTTATTATGAATGGAACTGAGAAAGCAACTCGGGCTCCTCTGACCTTGGACGATGACACATACACTCAAGAAGATTCCCTCCAGACACTTCTTGTTTACCATTGTCTGAGGACAGGTGAGGAATTGGCCTTGCCTTTGGGGACACCGTCCCTGCCTACTGCAAGACGGGTCCTGTCAGGCTTCACCAGAACACCAAGGTTACCAGTCCACTGAGGGGTGAGCTCAGGCCCTGGGTCCCATATAACCTCCTCCTGGAGGCTTAGCTCCACGTCTGAATACACAAGAGGCAGGGAGGTGCCGGAGGATGGCATTTTGGAGTCCAACTCTTGTCACATAATAATTGCAACCCAGGTATTCATAGAATTACTATTTACTTGAAATGTTATATCAGTTTAATTTCATAGCATTAGTATAATTTATAATATTACCAGTATTATTGTTCACATGTAAATTAGTATAAATGTGCATGAGGAATAATAATTCAGGAAATTGACAGATCTAGCTCTACAATAATCTCTAGGACTTAAAATGTTTCAAAACCTATCATTTCGATTCAGAAGATCAGACATAGGCAAACTAAAAATCCTATCTAATATTAGTCATAATAGAAACTTTTAAAAAGTTGATGAAATTTAATAGTTTTAAATGTACCCAAGTTCACTACATGTGAATTATTAATTATTTCTTCTTCACTATCACATAGTTATTATTTTAAACTTAGAGAATGTTAATGCCTTTTGAAAATGTCCTCAAAGGAAAAAGAGAAGAGGGCTGGGACTGGGGCTCAGGGGCAGAGTACTCGCCTAGCACAGGTTCCATCCTCAGCACCACATAAAAATAAAATAAAGGGACGTTTCACCTACAGCTAAAAAAATACATTTTACAAAAATTATAAATAAATTGTAGAGGGATCCATAGAGTTAAGGGAAGGGAGGTGAGAGGGGAGTTCAGGGGACTGAATTAGAACAAACTGTATTTCATGCACTGGCAATTCTGTCAAACTGTATCCTAATGTTATAAATAACTAAAAACAATCAGTGAAAAATAATTCCCAAAAAGTAAAAAGAGGTGTGATTTAACAGTTTGTTACCAATTAAAATACTTTACAAAATTAAAAAGGGAAACCCTAAGGATGCACAGAGATAGACAAAATAGAATAAATTTTAATTTGTTACCAAAAAAAAATACACAATGTTTTCACAGCTAATCTCCCTGTTGTGGTATTAGTATACAGAGCCAGGGACATTCATCTGGTGATAGTTAGGACTTCCTCATATTGGAAAGTTGTTCCTTGACACCTATTGTGTTTCTGAGGCTCTCAGGTTCACTAGCTGACGTTTAGCTTTAGAGTTCTTTACTAATGCAAACCATGGAGAAAGACAGAATGTAACCAGAGTTTTCAGAAAAGGTAATTCTGTCATGTGGATTCATTGAATTTTAAAAAATATCCCAGGGATGAAGGGAGATTTAAAAATACTAGAAGAAGGGGCAGAGGCTCAGGGGCAGGAGCTCAGGGACAGGGGCAGGGGCTCAGGGGCAGGGCACTCACCTGGCACATGTGAGACACTTGGTTCAATCCCAGCATCACATAAAAATACCATCTGTAACTAAAATAATACATTCAAAATACTAGAATAAATACAAATTTGTGATAAAATTAGAAAACAAATAACTGGGCAAAGTAATATTATTATAGAGAACCACAGGTCCTTGATCTGGCTATAGTTTATGTCCTTCTATGTTAACACACATTGTTCCTTGATTCCTAAAAATTCCTAGAGTCCTTGCCCTCTCCCAGCTGATCTGTCAGCTTTATTCTTTACTAATGCCCAATCCCTGAGACAGCAGAGAATTTTAGACAAGGATTTTTGCATAAGAAGTGATTTCTGAAAGGTAAGGCATATTCTGCTTTTGTTAGTTTATTTCTAGAGGCACCAGTAAATCTAAGCCTTTGCTTTAATTTCACTGAAGTTTCTGTAGCAAAGAAGACCAGCTTACAATGATCTATAGGAAGCTTATTTTACCTTCCATGAGACACATTTAATTTTTGAAAGCTTTTTTTGGTGTTCTTGTCATGCTAATCTTGATTAATGATGCTTGGAAATGAAAATGATCTTCATAAAAATATAGTCCAAGTACAGTTTCTATCCAGTCACTGAAGGATCACAGAATTTACATTTGCACATTCATCAAGTTAAATTACAGAGAATAACCTCCAGGAATTAATGTAATTTTAAAGGAAGATGAATGGCAATTAGACCATAATAGTGGCGATCTTTCCCATCTTGTTCCCAAATGTCTGGATGCAGGCATTAAAAGCAGGATGGCAGAAGCTTGGGAAATGAGAGCAGATTTCCTGAAGGACACTCAATGATTTGGAGGCCTGCTCCCAGCACTCAGGTGTCTTTTAGGTTCTGAGTGAATATGCATCTAGAGGTTTCTGAGCTAAGGAATGTTGCAGCATCTTCCAAACAGGAACAATTCAAATGGAAGACTTGCAGCTGGACTTCACCTTGCTTATTGAAGACACTCCCTTTTTCTCCTTAGGGATGGACAGGCCAACTAGAATGTGATAGGTGAATTTTATTGGTCCCATTACCAGTACCTTGAGCTTAGTTTTGAAATACTTAATTTCCCTTGAAATTGAAAGTTTTATTGCATTTACAAAGTGTGTGCGAGACCTCTTCCTTCATCTGAGGAGAAGCAAGCAAACAGGTAAACTGTTGGCTAAACTCTACTTGTGCCAGGCATACATGTGACCAAAGACTCAGGAACTTTGGAATCTCAGGCAGGAGGATGTCTTTCAAGGCCAGCCTCAAGAACTTAGTGAGGTACTAAGACCCTCAGTGAGAAACTGTCCTCATACTAAAAAATAAATAAAAAGGGCTGAGGGTTGGGGATGTAGCTCAGTGGTAAGGCACCCCTGGGTCCAGGCACCAGTTCCCTTCCTGAAAAATGTCCCCTTTGTTGCTTTCTACAAATGACCCTGGAGTGGATATGCAGCTAATTTCAGCAAGTGGTGAGTGACAGCACTACTCCTGTTTTTCCACATCTCCTGATCCTACTTTATAAAACACACACACACACACACACACACACACACACACACACACACACACACACATTGGGTAGGAATCATCCCAACACCAACACAAGGATGCTGGCTTCACCTGCCACTGAATTGACTCTCACCAATCTGACTCACACCAAAAGGGCCAGGGCAAAAATGCTACCTTCCCTCTTTTACTCAGGATGCAAACAGAGATGAAATTACTCACTTGGGTGACATGGCTGACCCTGAGGGTAAGTGATGGTGACTGGATTAGAAGAAGCTATGTAGGGGCAGGACACATAAGTACACAATTCCTCCCAATTCTGTACTCTATAAAGAGAGAGTGGGATAAGCAGGTGAAGTTGTCCTCCTAGATGATCCATTTCCAACTCCAACCTGGGGAACTACAGCTTTCCCTGGGCAATGTCTCCATAGCAGCATCGTTTCAGAGATGCCATTCTCAGGAAAGACAGGATCACATCTTAGGAAGTGGGAAGGGAGGGATTAAAAGGAGGTGGTGGAATTTATAGTCTAAAAAAAAACGCAGTAGGTCCGCCAGACAGGGGAAGTCATCACCATCTCCCTGAGGTGAGGAGCATTTACAAAATCATTGATCTGAAGAAGGAGTGGTGCACAAGCTAAAATTAGTTAATTATTTTTAAAAATTGACTATTTTCCTTGGTCTGGGTTGGGGTGGACCAGCTTTCCTGAGGGCTGGACAAAATTTATGCCCCCGAGCCACATGCCATCCCTTGAATTTAAGTTGATAATGGAAATAAAAGGCTATCCTTTTATTTCCATTATACTTCCAAAGAATGTTTTTTAGTAAATGATGATTCTAGTGACTGTAAAATGTGACATAATAACAGAATTCTGCTGCTGTCAAACACTTCTCTCTGCAGAAACACGTCATTTGCTTCAACATCCCCATGAAGATGGACCGAGATTCCAGACTCAGGGTCACGAGAAGTGCCTTCTACCTACAGGGTGGGACCGGGATCTCGACCAACACCTGTCTGCTCTGCCTCCACCTGGCTGCCATCCTCGGGGGCCAAAAGCCCAGGCTCATCAACCTCCCCATGGCCCACCACACACATCATCCTACTCCTCACTGTGGCCCTTTTGGTATCCACAAACATCTGGGAAGTGCAGGACATTCCAGGTGATGTCAAATGCAAAATTCTGGTCTTCCTGCACAAGGTCATGAGGGGATTGTCCCTCGTCACCACCTGTGTCCTGAGTGTGCTTCAGGTCCTCACCATCAGCCCCAGTGGCTCCTCGCTGGCCAACTTCAAAGTCAAATCTGCAAACCCCATTCTGGGGGCATGTCTGTTCCTGTGGGTCCTCACCATGGCCATTACCAGTGACCAGCTGGCTCTGCACGGTGGCCACCCTAATGCCATGCAGCCAGGTCTTCTCTTTGTCAACAGCCACTGCTCCTTCCTGCCGAAGTACAGGGGTGTTTTCCTCCTCTTGGTAATGCTCAGAGACATCTTCTTCGTGGGCCTCATGGCCGTGTCCAGTGAGTATATAGCTACCCTCCTGCACAGACATCAACAGCACTGCCTGTCCCTCCATGGCTCCAGGCTGTCCCCTCAGACCTCCCCTGAGCACAGGGACACTTACAGTGTCCTACAGCTGCTCAGCTGCTTCACCGCCCTGTACTGTGCAGACTCTGCGCTCTCCCTGCTCATCAGCAGGATGAGGAGAAAGGATCCCATGCTCGTGACCATCCACAATGCAGTGGCCAGCGGCTATGGCACACTCAGTCCCCTGGTACTGCTCAGGGCGGACACGCAGATCCTGAACATCTTACGAGCCCAGTGGAGGAACAAAGCTCAGATGCTAACAAGATGCATCTAAAATAGCTCCTCCACTCTCACTTACAAATCCCTCTATCTCACACAAACTTCTTTCTGATATGATTTCAGCAAGTGCAGCAGATTTTCTGTCTGGTAAAATTATCTATGTGACTACAAATGACCTTGTATATGGTTTTACTTGATATCTGCATCAGTGTCTTTAGGTACATCCACGGACTTTTACAGTCTCATCTTATTTTCTTTCTTCTTGTTTTATGAAAACTTCTTTTAAAGAAGTTCTATTAGAGCCACATTGTACCTTATTCTGTCTGAAAATATACTATTTTAAAAAAAAGACTGCAACATGGCTATCAATCAGGCAGTGCCATAACCCCAAATGTCCATCAAGAAAAGAATAGATATTGTCTAGCATGGTCCAGTCCATGGGTTCAATCCACAGCAACTACAGGAAAAAGAAAAAAATGGATAAACAAATGCAGTGGGGCTAGAGATGTGTGTATGAACAGGCACATTATATATCCATATACACAAACATGCAAGCATATATATATAAATTATATATTATAATTTATAGATATAGAATATCACTCTGCCATAAAGAGAAATAATACATGCAACAATATGGATAAATCCCAAAAGTATTCAGCTAAAAAAAATCAGACAAAAACATCACAGATTGCTGAGTAAAATTCCATTGTGTATTTAGAAAATAATGCTGTTAGCCAATTGCAAAAAAAAAAAAAAACCTACAAATGCCAAATGTTTTCTCTTATATAAGGAGGCTGACTCATAGTGGGGTAGGGAGGGGGGGCATGGAAGGAATAGATGGACTCTAGATAGGGCAGAGGGGAGGGAGGGGAGGAGACAGGGGATTAGCAAGAATGGTGGAATGTTATGGACATCATCATCCAAAGTCCACATATGAAGACACAAATTTGTGTCAACATACTTTTTCTATATGTGAAAAATTGTGCTGTATATGTGTAATGAGAATTGTAATGCATTCCACTGTCATGTATTTAAAAAAAATCGATATTTTTTTAAATCACATATTGTATACTTCACTCTTATAAAGTATGCATAATATGGAAACCCAAGAGTCACAGAGCAGAAGTTAGTGACCAGCGCCTGGGAGGGCAGGAGAGTAACTGTCTGCCTGAGGGAGACTTGGTTTCCATTGGTGGTTTTTCAAAGCTGTGCAACAAGGAAAGTTTGTAATAACATTGCACCATTTCAAATATCACTAGATCCCATTTTCAAATGGACATTATTAGGAGAAATGAATCTCATTTAAAAACAACCCCCCCCCAAAACCTGAAAATGCTGGGATTCTGCTCAATGATGGTGGGCATAAACTCTGGTGACAGGAAGGCACTGTGGCACTGCAGACCCCAACTGTACTCTGGACCACCTACTCAGAGTTGTTAGAAATACTGGCTTCCAAGAACTGAGAACCTACTCTGCCAAGTCAGGTGTGGCTCTAGCTTCTTCCTAAATGTTGATCCTAATTTTCCCAGTGGTTTTGGGTCCTATAGGAGGAATCCTGACTTTATGGAGAACAAACAAGGGCTGGAAACCAAACTGATTGTCCCAGGGTTACCCACCATGTACACCATGGTTCTGATGGATTTATCAGTCTGAAAATAAAATCCAGCCCGTGATCATTTCTGGTCAGAGGAGGATGGAAAGAGAGGAATCATCAAGGGGCTCCAGGAACCTTCAAGACTGAATTAGTCTTCACATCCTCATTGTGGTGATGGTTCTGTGGGTGTATGTATGTGGCAGACCTAAAAAGCTGTTCATTAAATATGTGTGATTTATTCTTATCAGTTTCACCTGAATAAAATTATTTTTAAACGAGTAAAAGATATTAAAAGATAATTCAACAAAAGGCAGACAGCAACTATGCCTAAGGAAATATGGCAGACACCACACATCATTATGGAATTGTAAGAAAAATCAATTAATTTGAAAAGAAACAAAAAATTGACAAAACAAAAAGTTGGGGACAGAAGCATAAACAGGCAAGTAAAACTTCATCAAACCAAAAGCTTCTTCACATCAAGTAAGGCAAGAACAGAGTAAAGGATCCAACTGACAATGAGAGAAGTTACCTGCACATCACCTGAGAAGCATACAGTGTCTCAATACAGAGGTCATCCCTGGAACTCTAACAAAACCTGGGGAAAAACTCCTAAAGGAGCTGGGCACAGTGGCACACACCTAGAATCCCTGTGGTTCAGGAGGCTGCGTGGCAAGGATCACAAGTTGGAGGCCAGCCTCAGCAAGTTAGCAAGACACTAAGCAACTCAGTGAGACCCTGTCTCTAAATAAAATTTTAAAAAAAGACCTGGGGATGTGGCTCAGTGGTTAAGTGTCCTGGGTTCAATCCCTAGTAGAAAAGATCAGAAAAACTTAAAATTCTATATTTGTTAAATTCATAATTTTGATCCAATATGCCTAGGTTAATGTGTTTTTTTTTTCTGATTACACTCTGCTTTATTCTAAGGCCAACTTACAAGGGTTAACTCTCAATCAAACATATGAGCTCATAAATTAAAAACTTTTAAAAATGGATCCAAATACCTTTGGTTAATATGATTTTAAAGATTCAATTTAAATTGGAAAAATAAATAAAAGTACAAATGTCTTTAACGTTTTGTTTCTAAATGATTAAAACAGCTGTTAAAATGTTAATATGTATAAAGTGTCTGACATCCATTGTCTCTAGGATTTTTATTTAACGGGAAAAAAAGATTACTAATACTATTCAGTGCACTTGTCTGATACCCTTTTTTTAAAAAAAAACATTCGTAAATCACATCTATATGTATATGAAAATAATCATGGATGTGTTTGTTAGAGACATATAATTGGTTTACAAAGTTAAAATGCTGTTAAATATAATATCAAGTACTGTTAACTCCTTAAATTCCTTAAAGTCAAATACTTAAAGAATGTTGGTGCTTTCATAAATTGGTAAATTAAAAAAATAAAATTATTTTGTGTTATCATAAAAACAAGGTTACTATAAAAACAAGGTTACTATAAATTAAAAGTCCCAACAGGTATAATTCTACATACAAGGAGTCAAGAGGTTAACTGCATTTCAATTAAAATACTGTAAATAACAAAAATATTTCATCTTATTAAAATGGATTAATTTATCTAAATTCAGAAGTTTATAATGGTCATTTCAAGGTACAAACTAAAAGAAGGATCAGTGGATTTAAAATGATTTAAAGGTTCTAAATATAAAAATATTTAGTAAAAAAAGTTTCCAGGTAAAATATATTTATGTGGTAAAGTATGATTATAATATATCTAAGTAAACAATAAAAGGGTCTAATTAAATAATATAAAGATCTACAAATAAGAGATAAATATTAAAAGGATTATATGTAACTAAGCTGGTTACATATGTAATACAAAATATTCAAGGTTGTTCCATAAGCACAAATATTAATGTTCTGATATATTTATATGTTCAAATGACAAAAACTTCTAAAAATATAAATTACATTGTGTCTGTTAAGTTTTATCCCCTAGAACAAGTAATCTTGGAAGAATTAAGGTTTGTACATCTGTGGCTAAACAGCAACTGTTATTTTAAAGTATTGTCCTACATTACAGAGTCTAGATTTTCCTTTAAAAGCTAACCTTGGTTAATATAAAAAACATCAATAAAAGTGGTTCAATACTCTTCTCTACAGATTAAATGTGTTCATATCTTTCAGGTATAAAAGTCTTTAAGGTAAAAGGTTTAAAGGAACATTTTATCAAGCTGGTGTTCTCCAAACTAAAATTGTCTGTAATGGTAATTTAAACTTATAAGGATAATATAAATAAATCCCCAATAGAATCTACTATTTGATGCTTTGTGACCAAATCTTATGTTACCTTTTACACTAAGATATAGAAATTTAAAAGGTATCTTAAAAGATAATGAAAGCCTGATCTGTTTAGAGGTTAATATTGTAAAACATTTTTGCCACTTTTCCACATGAAAGAGCGCTCAGACTTCCCTTAATTAATGTTTCAGATATACATCATATTGTGCTAGCTGACTTTCATACAGACTCAGGGAAAAATATATGTAAACTTTATAAAATGATATCTAAGAAAGAGAGACAAAGATCAGCTTCAGAACTATAAGACTTTGCCTAGGATTTGTGAAGAGCCCTGCCTTACCCGAGATAAGGCTCAGCCTCCCACCTGCAACTCATCAGAATGACTTCAAGATAGGCCAGACTTCAGTTATTTAATGTTCAAAAAAATGATTTTATCATAAAGATGACTGTGATCTCAAATAGAAATATAAGTTATAACTCAGCCAAGGTTCAAAATTATAGACAAGCTAAATATGTTCTCACTATTGTTAATGTCACTGTGTATTTTCATTCCAACTGAAAGAAAAGTGACCGGGACACTAGCAACCAAGAGACCTTTATTGTGGCAATGCATGATTAACAGGAAGAGCATGAGAGCCCAAGAAAGAGCAAGAGAGGAGGACCTGGCAAGAGAGAGTTTTTATAGCCAAAATCTAATGGGCTCTCTGAGTCTGCAAGCTGCCTTGTTGGTGAACAGTGATTGTGTCACACAGTAGTTGCTAAGGTGTCATCTTCTACCTTCAGGCAGACAGGGCAGGGGCCAGATGTGGATTTCTATTGCACCAGATGGGTGGGGTCGAGTATTCAGCCTTCAGACAAACCAGCAAAACTCACATTTGTTCAGCCTGCTCCACAAATAACAATAACTGCTACCTGTTAAGGCTGTACAGAGGTAATACTTCATGAACACACAGCTGAAGTTAATTTGAGATATTAAGCCATCATCTGTAGACAGATCAGAATTAAAAGGGACTAAATTAAATGCAGAAGGGGCTGGGGTCGTGGAATCCGCAGTAGGATGCCTGCCTTGCATGTGGGAGGCACTGGATTCCATTCTCAGCATCACATAAGTTGATGGATAAGATAAAGGTATTGTGTTATGTACAATTTAAATAACCAAAAAAATTAACTGTAAAGTTATAAACATTAA